ATAAAATCTAAATAAAGACTAATTTCTAGAATAGCTTTAATAACATATGGTATTGATTTTTTAAGACCAACAATCATGAACACAATTATTCCTTTGTAAAGATTACCCTTAGTATCTTGACCAAATAATCTTCTATTGTGGTATTCACAAGATTGCTGTAAATACATTTCATCAAAAAGGAGAACACAATCATTGCTTATTTTTCCTTCATTTAATAACAGTTTTAATGATTTTATTGAATCGATTCCACCAGAAACTAATTTCTTTAGTAGTGACATTGATGGCAATGGGAGTTGTTTCAAAAGAAGAGAATAAGCCTGAAATGATGAATATCTTTGCATAAGTGCAAAACGTAATACTTGTAAAGAATATGGAGGACGACCTTTGGATTTGTAAAAAATTAAATTTCATTAACTAAACCATACGAATTTTCTTTAACAAGGTTGTGCGTATTAGACATCAAACTATTTAAAATCGATTAACTTTTAAGCTTACAATTGTTAATTGTTCTAAATCATTTAGGGAGTGGAAGTGGAGAACTTTTATAATCTAACTTAACGTGCAAATTCTTATCAATGTGTATTGATTCAATAAATAGAGTTGTCTACAAAAAATAAACGATAATATAAAACAAAACTTTTATATCTTTGAAAACTAAATCCATTTGGAGAGTTCGATTCATGAAGCATATCAATGTTTTTTATTTTATCCATTTCTTGAAATGTATGAATTTCATCTGGGATGGTAGAATGTCGGTCAGTTGGAGGTTTACGAAAAATAGGAATTTTAGGTATTATAAAAGATAGAATAGAAATTTCATCAGAATAAATGGTTGGAACAGGGTTTAGCTCATATTTTAAGGTAACTCGTTTTCCATATTTTAAATACATTTTTTTCAAAATGGTCCAAGCATATAACTGAATGTTTGCTTGGCTTCCAATCTTTTCTGTTAACAAATTTCATCCATTTTTCTTCTAAAACTTTAGGAAAACTAAAAACAGCTTTACTTGCATAAAGAGAACTAGATTAATTTTTTTTAGATTTATAGTTTGACAATTAAAAACAGCACATTTATTCACCATTATATCCAAAAGTAAATTTCCAACTTAATCAATATCTCCCAAAATAAAATTTAAACAATATTAACTGGCAGTATGAAAAATAACCAAAATGCTAAAAACTAGCCTTCTAATTTTCGGCCTATTTATGCAACATATCTGGCTGTGTATAAAGTAGGCCATGCAGTAAGTTTAATATAAAAATTTTTAACATTTTATTATTAACATTATTATTATTTAGTTTCAATATTAGTATAATTAAATGATAAGATTTGGATATAATCAATAATATTATTTGTTCAAATAGTGGCTTTAATATACTAGTGTTTTAAATGTTTTATTCACTTTGAGCTTTTTGTATTTGCAGTAAGTTTAATATACGAATTAAGGTTAGGAAATATTTTCTAAATTAGAGTTCCAAAGAGATTAGACTTCAAGTTTTATATAATTAATACACAAGCAATTAAGTTTTTTTTTTTTTTTTAATGAATGGCAAAGTGTGTTAAAGAAGGGAAAAAAGTGCCCCAAGAAGAAACGAACCTAGTTTTTGGAATCAATGAATCAACTCTGTGACATATAAACCACAGACACATTACATATTACCTGTATCTCAACTTGCAACCTGGAAGGAGGTCTGGGAGTTTTTACTAAACCAACAGAAGTATTCGCAGGTAATTTTATGCATTATTTTAACCATGTTGCTGTACTGTGTTTACTTAAGGTAATTGTTTTCATTTTACACTATTTGATTGTTTACCTTGAATTAGTTGGTTCAATGATTGGTTGCAATGCAACTCATGCGCAGTGAGAGAAAAATAAGTTAGATCGCAATGAACCCCTCATTCGAGTGAATAAATGAGTCAATTCTCACAGCACAGCTAAATAAAGGAAAACAGCTCTAAGTGATCAAAAAGTAGAAGAAATCAATAAGAAAAGTGATGATGTCAAACAGCTCAGAGCTCAAAGTTTTCATTCCCTTCTAGCAAAAACAGAAAACCAGATTGTTAATTGTTGCTATTCAAAGCGATCCTATAATGTTAACAAAATTATTCACTGATGTCTCTGACTGATTAGGCCTCAGCATAAGAAATCAAATGGCTGTTTAAGCAAAAGTCATCAAAGTTTGCAGAGGTTCAACACATCATTTTCCAATCTTGCGATCACCAGTTTACCGTAACTGTAGGGTAGAACAAGAAAAATAAGGTGCCCAAATAAAGAAGAAGTATTAGCAAACAAAAATATTCTAGAAATCCCTGTAATTATCAACTCTAATAGTCACATCCAGAAATATGTTTAACTTCTAAAAACCCTGAGAAGAAGCAGAAGACCCCATGCAGCTTCAACTACTACTATTCAAATAGTGGAGGACCATCGCAAACGAACTTACCTTCAAGGAAAATAAAAAACTCAAATATTCATTAAAGTTAAATTTTTTATAAAATATAAATGAGATAATTCTGTGTGAAAAGTTGTAAATAATACTATGTTAAAAGTTTTAATTAATACTGTATAAAAAGTTAAAGTCGTTTAGGAATATATTTGTTAACATTTTAAGCAAAAATACTGTTAAAAAAGAATTTATCAACTTTTTCAAAGTGGGGGACCCTTAAACTTTTATATCTTTTAAAAATATTTGGTAAATATTATTTTTTTAACCTCAATTTAAAAGTTGGTGAGGTAATTTTTCAGGAATGAGACACCCTATTCATTGTCATATGTTTGCTGCATTATCTATCTTTTCTATATTACTAGAGGAAATTTGAATAGAATTGAATGAAGAATTGAATTGAATGAGGGATAGAATTGAATGAAGAATTGAATTGAATGAGGGATAGAATTGAATGTAGAAAAAGCTGAAATTAAATTAATGTACAACTCCAATATGTATAATAAAAATGTCAATACTGAGCTTGAAAGAACTTAACTATATTATTTAAAAAAAAGCAAAACAAATAAATGGTAAAATTACAAACTACAAAATTATAATTTATTAAAAAATCGTTACGTTTATATTTACAATTGGTAAATGAACTAGCATGCACTTACTCAGAAGTATATAAAAAGTTCCTCATTGGCAAACATACAGTAAGGTGCACTTCAAAGAGTTGGTCTGGATTATGTACGAATTAGTCAATATAACAGATATAAATGAAATCATTGAAGGGCAAAGGAGGAGATGTTGCTAAAGGAATTACTGAAAATGTGTTACATGTTAGGATGACGATATTGGATAAATTCACTTCTTTCAAAAAAGTAAAGAAAAAAGTAGACAAAAAAAATGATCCAGCCAATGACTGTCACTTTTAAGATAATTTTACATAAATTAAATTTTGATTCAATTATTTGCATTTTAAAGAGTTTTCATGATATACTTCTTTGTAAATATGTTTTAACATTATCTTTGTAACTATTTAATAAATCTAATTTGATTTCTCTCTTTCTATTCTTTCTAGCAACCTATGACTCACTAGCTCTTCTTCTTTTTAGTTAAATAATATTCATCAACACAAGCTGGGGCAGTCATTGGAATTCTGGTCTTGTTCCAGATGTGAGCTAAATTATTAGATGTTGCTTTTGCGCAGGCTGGAACTGTTTGTTTCAAGGCTTTGTGATAGTGAAAAAATGTTCAGTAAAGAACAATAGTACATCATATTTGTTTAATATTTTTTGAAAATCAGAAAATGGGATAAAACCAACAAATTTTTCAAGCATAATGCTGTTTTTATAAAACTAAAAGGCCGTTGAGCAACCTCTTGATATTTTTTTATCTTAATTATCTTTTGTACATCAAATTTTTTCCTGCGTTAAAGTGAACATACCTAAATTGCAACATTTAAGTTTTCATGTAATGATTAAAATTCAAAAAAAGTATTTTTTTATTTTTTTATTTTATTTTTTAAATAAATTTGATTACTCTTACTCGTTTTAACTTTTTTTAATTTTTTTATTTAAATTTTTATTTAGTCTTTCTTTAAAAAATTTTTTGCATTTATAGTGTATATATATATATATTATATATAAATCAAAAAATCACATTACTTTGTTACATAAAAATGCTACATCTTCGTTACTTAAAAATAACAAAAATTTGATATGTAACAGTTATGCAAAAATTTTACATCACATTATAAAAAAATGTTATGTCTCAGTTACATATATATAATAGACATTTGATCAGCATCAATTGCATAAAAATCTAACACCTCGTGATGTAAAAAAATTATATAACACATCGTGATGTAAAAATATTACGTCTTGGTTACACAAAAATAACTGACATTTCTAACCAAACCATAATGTATAATGTTGCATCTCAACACATAATATTTTTATAGAAGCATGTTGAAAAACTCAGATGGGTCCCAGTATTTTCTCTAGTAAAATCCTAGCAGGGACCCCAATTTACTGGTTAGCTGGTTATTTATTCCCTTATTAAAACTAATTCATATGTTTTTATCTTAAAATCTTTTCAAAACAGTGTGAAACTTAAAAAATAAAATATTTTTAAATTTTGATAAAGATAATTTTAAAGATCAGCATATAAAAACTAATATTTGCTTGTTTTATCATATAAACATTAGTAAATTCAGGGGCGCCCATGGCACCAGTTTTTAAAAATTATATATTTATGTAAATTCAAGCCAAAGAAATATATATATATATATATATATATATATATATATATATATATATATATATATATATATATATATATATATATATATATATATATATATATATATATATATATATATATAATTGACTACAAAAATATATTTGTATATTATGTAAATAATATAGCATGGACCTATTATCAAATAGAATTTTAAAAACAAAAATTAGTTTGATTTCATTTTCTATATTAACTTCATTTTAGCCTAGATTTTAGGGTAGCGCAGTTTCAAACAAGTTTTTGGCAAAATATAAATAAAAAACATTAACCTTTAGTGGCACATTGCTTCATCATATTTTTATGCATAAATCTTGAAAATGTTTCAGATAATGTTTGATGATCTTCATAAACTCCATTTAATGAACGCCTGTAAATTATATGGGGCTGAAAATATTTCAAATCTGCAGAATGTTTTGACGGACTTTTTTTACTTTTGACTTTAGTATTCAAAACTTTATTTTTACTTTGATGAAATTTGTGAAGGTACTTTGGAACAGGATCAATAAAATAATCATGGTTATTATATTTAAAAATTCCACTCTAAAACAAATGTGATAAAAATACATATCAAGTATTTAATAACATTAATATCAAAACAAAATAATAAATGTATCACTATTAAACTTTTAAATCATATATATTAAAAACTATACCATAAATATTACATTACAAAACTATAACTTTTAAATACTTATTATAATGCATAATAAATATTTTTTTAATTATAAAACGACCTTTTCTTACCAATCCATTGCAAGTACTTATCCCTGCCACTGATTCATCATTTCCATTTACTTTACCAGAGTAATAACAATTTTTAGCTTTTTTTTCAATTGTTCCATTTTTTCCTTTAATTTCAATTTTAAAATTAGGTCCAAGTAAATGTTTGTTTAGTGATAAATTAAACTTAAAATCAATATCATATGCCGATATTCCAAATGTAAAATGAATAGGTTCTTTATCGCTAAGTTCTCGTTTATTGCGACCTATACTTGAGTATAGATCTAATTGAAAAGGCACTACTATGTGATAATCAGGAACTAAATAAAAAATATACAACTATTTATGTCTAAAAACTGTTAATACATTTACAAGTTAAATTAAAAGTATAATAAAACATTTATAGTAAGACTATATAGTAGGAAACATTGAAAATAAAAAACACAATTGTTTTACAATAACAAAGTTGTTATTGTAAAACAATTGTGTTTTTTATTTTCTTTTTTTAGTTTAAACCTTGAGTAGCAACAATCAATTGTTATCGATTGTTGCTACTCAAGGTTTAAACAGCAACAATTGTAAATAAAAGTGCTTAAAACAGTCAATATTAATTAATATTAAATATTTTATCTTATTTTCACTTTGATATGATGACTATATAAATAAGAACATTGTTCTTATTAATAAGAAAATCTCTAAATAATATAGTAATCTAATTATACTATTCTAGTTATATTATTATTCAATATTATTAATAATAATATTTCTCAATAATCTATAGAAGTTTCTGATGATATCAAAGGGAAATAAGTATTATTGTACAATTTATATTTTTAAACAGTAAAAAAACTTCCATAAATTTATTTTACTCATAGTTGAAGAAGTATAAATATGGTATGTTTATAATAATATGAACACTGCAGATGATTATTATGCATATTTAAGCGCAATAATTAGTATTGCTCAAAAAAAAGACCAACTGTACATTATAATATAATATACAATTATTTGTTTTTTTTTTAACGTTAAATGTTTCAAAAATGTTTAAACACATATTAATAGGAATTTTATACTTTTTAACTCTTTGAAGCCCTAATTCTTAAATTATAAGATATAGGTGACTTACAATTAAAAAATTAAAAATATATATTTTAATATGATTTCTGGCATTGGACACCAGTATCCCTGTGGTCAGTAAGAGAAAATTTAAAAATTTCAAAATAATTAACTTTTTTTTTTAAATAAACTATTAAATAGTTAAAATATTACATTTATAACTACACACAGTGAACTAAATGCAACAATGCATGAATTTTATAGACTTCAATGTACCAGGTTTATCAATATTTGTCAAGTTTATGAAAGCAACATTTTGAAATTGTTACTGTTGTAGTTTATTTTCCATTTATTTTTTAATTGTTACTGTTGTAGTTTATTTTCCATTTATTTTTTAATTGTTACTGTTGTAATTTATTTTCCATTTATTTTTTAATTGTTACTGTTGTAGTTTATTTTCCATTTATTTTTTAATTGTTACTGTTGTAGTTTATTTTCCATTAATTTTTTAATTGTTACTGTTGTAGTTTATTTTCCATTTATTTTTTTATTGTTTTCTTAATCATTAGAGTAAATAATTATTTTCATCATTCTTTTTAAATAATTATTTTCATTCATACTTTTATCAAATATTTATTTATTAAACGCTTTTAATTTAATAATAAACTTATTTTAATATAAATGTAATGAAACATTTTGATTGTAAAGAATAACTAAAAGCGTTTCAAAAAAACTTTGTTTAAAGCAATTTTTTCTTTCAATTCCTGTTTATTCAAAGAATAGTTACAATTAAACTTTTATTTCTCTCATCTAAAAAAAGAACGCAAAAAAAAAAAAATTCTATACAACTCTTATTCATTCAAAGTTTAATTACGTGAAGCTTTTCTTTTTCTTATTGATGAAAATATTTGTTCAAAAGCAATTTGTAGTTTTTGCAAAATGAAAATATCAAGAGGAGGAACATCTGGCAAAAAATGACAACATCCAATTAAGGATCAAATTTAAGCTATTTTATTGCATCTACTTCAAAAAGTAAAGAGAATGGTAATAGCAAAGAACCAGTTAACAATAGTGTTAGAGTTACTCTAGATGAAAAACATCAATCTAAGCTTGGGGAAATTATTAATAAGCATGGGAAATGGACTTCAAGTGAACAAAGAGCTTAAAAAAATAACTATGCTTATCTGAGAAATCATATGAGTAGACATATTCTTTATGATATCAGCCATATTCTTTATTTACAAGGATTTAACAAACTAATTATGCATAATGAACCAAGGTATACCATGCCCTCTAGAAAATATGACTTAAACAGTTTTTCCTTTAATTTATGAAAAAATAAAAATACAAATTATGAATGATGTAGCAAAAGCAGATTTTTTGAGTTTCACCTCCGATGGATGGACTACACATCACAATGTCCTAAGAATTTAATTTATTGACAGCTGTGCTACAACTTAAAAAATAACAGGCTCTCATACAGGTGTAAAGATATCAAAGTTTCTAAAAGAATCTTTAAGTGAATGGAAAATACCAACTAACAAAGTGTATTATGTCCTCTCTGACAATGCTGCTAATCTGAAATAGCCATAAAAGAAGCTGGTTTAGAAAAAAATTCTCTAAGTTATGCAATCCACACTCTTAAACTTTGTATAAATGATAAGCTTTTCAAACAGCAAATAATTGTAAATTGATCTTATAGCTAAGTCTAGAAAAATTGTCACACACTTTCATGATTCTTCATTTTTTATGGACATGATACATGAAATTTAACAACAGCTAATGTTACCCCAACGTTCACTTATACAAGATGCAAGATGTAGTAATAAGATGGAACTCAACATTTTACATGCTAGAAAGGCTAGTTGAACAAAAAACCTCACTAACCTTAATGAAGACCAATGGTTATTAGCTGAGATGCTTATCTTAGTTTTAAAGCATTTTGAGGTGGCTACACTAAAGATGAGTGAAAATAGAGCATCAGTGTTTCAAAATATTCCATTTATAGTTTCACTGGAAGCATACCTAGCCTATGCTTCAGAAAATGCAGGTTAGATAAAAACTATAATAGAAGAGATGAAAAAAGTTTTAATCTCAAGGTTTTTCAGCTATAAATATAACTAAAACACTTTATCTGACCCAAGAACCTCCCCACTCAAAAAATTAAAAATGACAGAAAACATATACAATTTTTATCAAGTTTTAAAAGCACCTCTTGAATTAATAAAATTAACAAAAGTAAAGAACTGTAAAATACTTTCAACAGAGACAAATTTATTTATAGAAAAAGGAAAAAATGTAAGTTAAAATGATTTTTTTAAATAAGAACTTTGATAACTTTTTGTTCTTGTCTAATTTATATTAAATTATTATAGATAAAACTAAATTCAAAATTATTATAAACTATAATATAAATTATAGTTATAGAAATAAAATAATATTACTAATATTCATTCATATTTAAGAACTTTTAATAATAAAATTAGTACTTTACATTATAGTTTAGTTTTTATATTTTTTATTTACTTTTCTTTTAGAATGAATTTTTGATGAAATAAACTTTTACTTATCACTGCCTAATCTGTTTTAAAAAGAATGTCCATATAGATGGTGAGGAAATTACATGTATAAAGAAACACTTTTGTAGCAATAATATTTTAGAATTCTAATACCTAGCCAAAAAATATTTAGGAGCTCTGCCTTCTTCTGTTCTTAGTGAAAGATTGTTTAGTACTGGGCACAAATTGTTCAACTATGTTTTAAATATTTTATACTTTATGTTTATATTTTTTTAATGTGAATTTCTTAATTTTAAACTTCTTTGTAGAATTGTGGATCCATAGGTTATACAATTAATGTACTAAATTATAAGAAAACACTAAAAAAGTAGGGAGCCCTGTTAAAAGCAGTTCAAAAACTTTAAGTTTAATGGTTGCATATATGTCTATATAATACTTTATTATTAATAAGTTAGGCTTATACATTGCATTTGTGTTTATGGCCTAATTCTATGTTTGGACATAATATAGAAACACAGAAATAAAAATTTTAAAAAGTTTTCAAAACAATCAGCATCGGCTGAAGGTTATCGAGGCCGATGCTAATGCCGATGCATCAGCTAAATGCTTGATGCATCGGCAGGAGGATGCTATATATATATATATATATATATATATATATATATATATATATATATATATATATATACACACACACACATATATATATGCATATATATGTGTGTGTGTATATATATATATGCATATATATATATATATATATGTATATATATATATATATATATATACATATATATATACATATATATGTGTGTGTGTGTATACAAATATATATGCATATATAAGTGTGAGTGTATATTTATATATATATATATATACACACACATATATATATGCATATATATGTGTGTGTGTATATATATATATATATATATATACACACACATATATATATGCATATATATGTGTGTGTATATATATATATATATATATATATATATATATATATATATATATATATATATATATATATATATATATATATATATATATGCATGAATGTATAACTCCAAACATAATTCAAAAGCAAAGAGAATGACTAATGGTAATTTATTTATATAATTAGGACCAGTCAACTCTTAACTCAATTCAAGTCTGCAAACATAACATCAATCTATAAAAAAGGTGACAAAACTATTGCCAGCAACTATCACCCTTACTCATCAACATCTGTTTCCTGCAAAATATTAGAATCTAATATAAGAAAAAAAATTGAAACATATCTTTACAACAACAAACTATTGACAACCCAACAACATGGATTTGTTAAATGGAACTGCACCACAAGTTTGTTAAAGCTGTAGATTTTAATTCTTCTTGGATTAGCAATGGTATACTTGTCGATATAGTAATGTTTGACTTAGCTAATCTTTTGACACTGTTCCGACCCAAGGTAATCTCATAGAAAAGTACCCCAGGTCTACAGAATGATTTAAAGGCAGCATTTAAATAGACAGAAGACTGGCATTTTAAATTTAATGAAAAAGGGCGGATTTGATCTAATTATATGAAACCATAAGCAAAATTAGAGTTAGAGGTCACTGTTTCAAATGTTACAGAGAAACAACAAAAAATCTATTAACTTTTTTTACAACAGACCTGCATAACTATGGAACTCAATACTTTTAGAACTTGTGGGGTTGTCCTCGGTTAACAATTGATTGATTAGGCTGTCACAATACACT